AGAACAGAGAAAAGACGAATACATGTTCATCTTCTGCTATGACAGTCACCCACTTTATCAGCAGTCAAAATAAGGAACTCACCCCAAGTTTAAGGTCAGGAGTTGTGTCAACCTTCATCAATTTGCTATGCTAAATTGACATCCCCAAGCAAAATGGTCATTGGCCATGATGGCTGGGGATGTTGCTATTAATAGTCCAACACATATGGAGATCACTAATTTGGGTAAGGCTGACCTAAATGATCCCATCCCAATGGGAAAATGTAAGGGCTTCTAAATGACAGAACACAAAACTATTTAGTTTTAAAGTAATTTTCTTGATGGATAGAATATTAAGGTCTGAATGGTATTACAATTTGGACCAAAGACTACATGATTTAAAGATGTCTATCTCCCATTATTATTATTATTATTATTATTATTATCATCATCATCATCATCATCATCATCATTATTATTATTATTGAAGTCTGACATGATGGATACATTCGGACAGCTTATCTCCCTCTATGAACCATTTCAGAGGTTAAGATCTTCTGGGGAGGCCCTGCTCTCGGTCCCACCTCCTATGGAGGGGCGGTTGGTGAGGATAGAATCATAGAATCATTGAGTCGGAAGAGACCTTATGGGCCATCCGTCCAACCCCCTGCCAAGATTCAGGAAAATTGCATTTGGATTTGCATCTGAAAATAGGATGAGGGACAGGGCCTTCTCAGTGGTGACCCTTCATCTATGGAACTCTCCCCCCAGCAAAATTAGATCAGCCCCTCTTCTTGACCTTCAGGAAAAAAACTAAAAATCTAGCTATGGGACCAAGGCTTTGATCAGTAATAAGCAGTGGAATAAGTGATCACGAATAATATAATGACAAATGGAATGGCCCTGGACTATGATTTGGATTGCATGATTTTAAGTGATATTTTAATATTTGATTTTTAACTGTTGGTTTTTAACTTATTTCTTGGTTTTACTGATATGTATATATGGCATCGAACTGTTGCCTGTTGTAAGGCCGCTCTAAGTCCCATGCAGGGTGAGAAGGGCAGGGTACAAATATGGTAAATAAATAAATAATGCTTGGTTTTGCTGCGACCTAATCACCCACTTAGTACTTCAAATGACGTACGTGTGTTAAGTACCCATAAAGAAAGATTTCCATCTATTTGCAGTTGCCATCTTTGCTATCACACAGACAATGCAGCCACTTGGAAGCAGGGTGAGTTCCAATCTCTTTCCACACCAACCAAGAGAATGGAGAGGAGACAGGAATTGCTTCTGACCCCTTCTTCTAGCTTGGTATGGGGAGCTTATGTTATCTCTTTGTTTATAACCACATTTATAGAACATTGTGATTTTTTTTCCATCAGAAAAGGATGTTCAAAGAGGCTAACAAAAGTTTATTTGGTGGAAGACTACCAAGGCATGCAGCAACCAGCCAACAAGCTTCTGGTCACCATCGAGGCTCCCAGCAGAATATTGATAGCCACATGTTTTGGCAACAAATGTGGACAGAGGAAAATGCGGCTGTCACCTGGTTTGCTGGACATGGGAATTCAGGCATTTCAGAGGCAACTTGGGTGGACTGAAATGTTACATTTACATTTATGTTTCAGTGTGTAGACTTTCAAAGTGCAATGGAAAAATATTTTGAGAGGCAGGCTGTCAAAAATAGCATTTCATCATCATATTTTGATAACTATGCAACTATTTCTGTAAGTGGTTCCAACAGACAAGAATTTCTGGAGGCTAATTGGGCTGCCCAAAAGAACACCCCATCAAATGCTGATGCTATGTCTTCAGGTAATAAGGCTCTGAGGGCTATGCTAAGCAAGAGGGTGGAAGTCTGTGGCTGGGTCTCCTGTGTCTTTCTCATTTATTTTGAAAATAGTCAGGGTAGAAGCCCACCCACCCATCATTTGAATGATCTAATTTCTCTCACACACATACAGCCATTTCATTCAATGTTGCTTATGCTGAAATAAATTAAAAGAGATGAAAAGACCCAATGATGGATTTCCAATTACTTATTGAGCATGTCCTTCTGAAGTTTCTGGTGTCTTGGCCATCAAATATTGGCCCCTATCTTTCCACATTTCCAGGAAAGTGAATCAGGTGATCAAGAAACTCATATGACATCATCAAGGACAGGAAGCCACCTTTCAAAACTAGCACTACAACAAATGTGGATACTTGTGCTCACCAAAAAAAAACTTTTTCTAGTCACGTGTTTTAGAAGATGTCTTTTTGGGAAAATCTGACTTGCAGAGGTGACATTTTTAAATAAAACATCTAATTTAAGTTCTCATGAATCAATCACATTAAAAGGCTAATTTGTAAAACATCAACCCAAATAAAATACACCTGGCATTTTTGTTCTTCTTGTTACGTGCTAAATATCTGTGTATCTGTCTAGTTTGTCTGTTTGAATCAAATATATGAGCAAGGAGCTGAAATTGATAACAATTTTCAAGCACGGTTTTTCTTTAGTTACTAGATGTCTCTGTTTCCTCCAAGCAGTACAGGACAGACAATGTAATGATTTTTTCTCTTCCCACCAAACGACCTTTTAGCTCTCAAAAACTCTGTGAAGTGACATTGAAATCCACTGCCTAATCCAGTGGTTTTCAACTTTCCTAATGCCACAACCCCTTAATAGAGTTCCTCATGTTGTGGTGACCCCCAACCATAAAATTATTTCAGTTGCTACTTCATAACTGTCATTTTGGTATTGTTATGAATTGTAATGTACATATCTGATAGGCAGGATATATTTTCATTTACTGGATGAAATTTGGCACAGATACCCAATACTCCCAAATTGGAATACTGGTGGGGTTGGAGGGGGGATTGATTTTGTCGTTTGGGAGTTGCAGTTGCTGGGATTTATAGTTCATCTACAATCAAAGAGCATTCTGAACTCCACCAATAATGTAATTGAACCAAACTTGGTACACAGAACTCCTATGATTGACAGAAAATACTGAAAGGGTTTGCTGGGCATTGGCCTTGAGTTTTGGAGTTGTAGTACACCTACATCCAGATAACACCGTGGACTTAAACAATGATGGATCTGGACCAAACATGGCACAAATACTCAATATGCCAAAATGTGAACACTAGTGGAGTTTGGAGAAAATAGACTTTGACATTTGAGTAGTTGTAGTTACTGGGATTTATAGTTCATCTACAATCAAAGAGCATTCTGAATCCCACCAATGACAGAATTGGGCCAAACCTCTCACCCAGAAGCCCCATGACCAACAGAAAATACTGTGTTTTCTGATGGTCTTTGGTGACCCCTCTGACACCCCTCTCATGACCTGCCCAGGGGTCCCAACCCCCAGGTTGAGAAACGCTGGCCTAATCCAACTCAAGGACAATTTGAACTAGACCTTCTACCTGAGGCATACACATCTGCATTATATATCAACGCATTCAAGACTTCATCATCTGAAAACTCACCATTCAGGCAATTGTTTAAGTGGCCCACAACTTCCCACCTGTCCTTTTCAAATGTGCATCATATTTTACAGACAATCCCTTGCCACCACCCAGGCATGTAGCCGGGGGGGGGGGGGCTTTGGGGGCTTCACCCCCCCCCCCTGAAATTCTGCCAAAAGGCCTTACTGGTACATTATTTAGACTGTTATGTTTATTCATATCATGATCTGATCACCATGCTCATTATGTCCCCCCCGGGAGTGAGAAAGGCAATATATAAATACTGTAAATAATAAATAAATAAATTCTCTATACTTGATTTGGGTACATGATAAGGGAGCTCAGTATTTCCTCACAAACAGACATACTTATTTAATTTGGGGGGAGGGGGGTCATAGGATTACACCCAATAGTCTTACCTCCTTTGTGGCAACACACACACAAATCACCACACTTTTGGGGTCAGTGTGAAGAAGCCCTACAACCAGATGAAGGCAGTCCCCAAGTTATGAACAAGATTTTGTAGGTTTGTTCTGAAGTTGAATTTGTATGTAAGTCAGAATAGATACATTTTAAGTGTAACTCCAGCATGTGTCTGTGTGTGTGTGTGGTTTTGGATAGCCTAGGAAAGGGTTAATACCCCTGTGGTATTTGTGTTGCTCTCTGTGCCCCTGTTACTTTCTGTCTCTGTGATAACTGGATTTTGACATCTTCTTTATGAACCATGGCTGCCCAGGATTCACTTCCATGGGGAGAAGCATTATGGGCATCTATCTATATCAGGCATGGGCAAACTTGGGCCTTCCCTCCAGGTGTTTTGGACTTCAACCCCCAAAATTCCTAACAGTCTCAAGCCCTTTCCTTTTCCCCCTCAGCCACTTAAGCAAAGCACATGCAAAGCACACTGCAGTAGTCTATTTGAGATGTGATGAGAGCATGGACCACCATGGTCAAGTCTGGCTTCTCAAGGTACGGGCACAGCTGGCACACAAGTTTGTAGTTGGATCTCCATGAGAATGAGTTCGAGGCCCCATAATTATAGGATTATTATTCATAGAGAAGAAATAAATGGTCATCAAAGAGTAGGAAACCTGTCAGCATGGCAATCAAAGCACTCCCAACAGATGGCCAACCAGCCTCTCCTTAAAAACTCTTGAGGCAGTATATTCCAGAGACAAATAGCTCTTATCAACGTGAAGTTCTTCCTAATGTTTAGGAAGAATCTCTTTTCCTGCGGTTTGAACCCATTGCTCTCCAGAGCAACGGAAAACAAGCTTAACACATCTATTGAAATATGACATCTATTGAAATAGTTCAACCCGGCTCTCCTGTTCCCCTTCAGCCTCCTTTTCTCAGAGCTAAAGAGACCCAGTTCCATACGCTCATTGGACTTGGCTTGCAGACCTTTGCCCGCTTTGGGCGCCCTTTACTGGACACATGGCCAAGACCCTCCCCCCTGGGGTGGTGGTGCCCAGAGTCGGGTTCAGAAGAAGGCTGGAGGGCAGAGGAAAGTTGGCCGAAAGGTGGAGGGAGAGCCTCTGTGTGGTGGAGCTACTCACGTGCCAAATGGCGAAGAAGATGAGGGCGGCGCAGAGCACCAGGGAGAGCATGTAGCAGAAGGCGGCGAAGGTGAAGGCCATGGCCGGGGGAGGGACAGCCCCAAGGAGCGAGCCCCCCGGGCGGAGAAGTTCCCCCTCTTGGGCCGCAGGAGGGAAACCCTCCCGAAGTCACCTCCGGAAAGCGCGCCACGCGTCCCGAAGCATCCCGCGCCCCGCGGCCAGGCGCCCCGTGGTTCCTGGTGGGCTTTTAACGCCTCGAAGGGGCCATTGGAGCCCAAGCCCAGAGAAAGGTCCTCTCCAACTTTGAGGAGCCAAGGCTGGCCCAAGGCGCACCGGGAGATCCCGAGCCCAACCTCAAAAGCGGCGTCTCCCGAGTCGCGCCTCCATCCAAGTCTTTGGGAGCTCTCCAAAGGGACCCCGACACCAAGCGCCTCCTCAGCCGGGAAGCGGCGCGCCTCCGCCTCTCTCCATCCTCGCCTCTTGAGTGAGGTCTTAAGCGCTTCGGAAGCGAACAGGCAAGAGACCCCCCTCGAGTCTGGAAGCGCGAAGCAGAGACCCGCCTCCACCGCCTGGCCGAAAGCGGAGCCCAGCCATCCACTTGCTGCTCCTGCTGGTGCTGCTGCTGCTTCCAAGGCTTGGAGAAGCGTGGCGCCTCTCACTCTTCCAGACTCACCAAAGAGGAGGGAAAAGCAGGAGGAAGGAGAAGAGGAGGAGAGGCTGGGGACTGGCTCCGCCCGCCCTCCTCGAGCCTCGCCTCCAACTTGGGCGACTTTGCAGGACCCACAAAAGGCGACTTTGCGGAACCCACTTGGGCGACTTTGCAGGACCCAAAAAAGAAGACACTCAAAGCTCTGACAGGATGATAATAATAATAATAATAATAATAATAATAATAATAATAATAATAATAATAATAATAGTAATAGCAGGCCTGTAGCGAGGGGGGGGGGTTAGGGGTTCAACCCCCCCCCCGAAATGTTTCAGATTTTTTAAAAAACCTGGTTTACTCATGAATTTTAACTGATTAACCAAATCCCCATGCTAAGTCTATGAGATGCAAAAAATTAAGAGTCCCTCCAGAACTGTAAGCACTATCTCAAGCAAATATTGACAATTTATTCACACTGTCATTACTTGCAGCAATAGCCGATGTAGTGAAGCAACCAAGTTGGGTGTGTGTGTGTTGAATGCTCTCATTAAGGAGGCCAGACTTGGTGGAGGTGGTTGACAGGGGTGGAGCTGCAGGCTATTGAAGGCTGCTCTGCCCCTGCTGTGCTCTTTGCTTCAGCGTGAGCTAGGAGGCAGGTTTCAACACCCCCCCCGTGAAATTTTCAACACCACCCCCCCTGAAAATTTCAACCCCTCCCAAATTTGTTTTCTGGCTACGGCCCTGAGTAATAGTAATAGTAATAGTAATAGTAATAGTAATAACAACATATTATGGTAATATTATGGCTGTTGTTCATTCTTTCAGTCGCTTCCGACTCTTCATGACCTCATGGACCATCCCACGCAAGAGCGCCCTGTGGCCGTCGGCCGTCACCTCCCCCAGCTCCTTCAGAGTCAAGCCCCTCACTTCCAGAAATCCATCCATCCATCTTGCCCTTGGTCGCCCCCCTTCTTTTTTCCTTCCATTTTCCCCAGCATGAATATTATGGCAATAATAACATGTTATGGTAGGTGGTACTTGTGACATAAGTTCCAGTGAATCATTTGGGCCACAGAGTTGTGCCTTTGTTTGTAGTCCGTCTGTGCGATTTTCTGTGCAAGGAAGCTGATGAAACCATGGACCATATCCTCAGCTGTTGCAAGAAAATTGCACAGACAGACTTCAAACAAAGGCACAACTCTGTGGCCCAAATGATTCACTGGAACTTATGTCACAAGTACCACCTGCCAGCAGTAAAGAATTGGTGGGATCATAAACCTGCAAAGGTTGGAAAATGAACATGCAAAAATACTGTGGGACTTTCGAATCCAGACTGACAAAGTTTTGGAACACAATACACCAGACATCACAATTGTGGAAAAGAAAAAAGTTTGGATTATTGATGTTGCCATACCAGGTGACAGTCACATTGAGGAAAAACAACAGGAAAAACTCAGCCGTTATCAGGACCTCAAAATCGAACTGCAAAGGCTCTGGCATAAACCACTACAGGTGGTCCCAGTGGTCATCGGCACACTGGGTGCCGTGCCAAAAGATCTCAGCCGGCATTTGGAAACAGTAAACATTGACAAAATCACAATCTGTCAACTGCAAAAGGACACCAACTTGGATCTTTTTTTTTTTTTGAGTGTTGCAATCCTGCGGGAGGCTTCTCTCATGTCCCCCTGTTTGGATATCAGCCAGCACACCAATGCCTTCAATCAAGAAATAGCTTTCCAAGATCTACAGAGATAATCGCAGGAACACCTCAGCAAGTGAGAGTCCAAAAGTGGCAGGCTAAAACCCAGAACCTCAACCAATGGCTGATACCGGATGAGGGACTCCTCTCTGGGCACACAGAAGACTGGGCTACTTGGAAGACACTGAACAGATTGTGCTCTGATACCACGAGATGCAGAGCCAACCTTAAGAAATGGGGCCACAAAGTGGAGTCCACAATAAGCAAGTGTGGAGAAGATCAAACCACAGACCACCTATTACAATGCAATCTGAGCCCTGCCACATGCACAATGGAGGACCTTCTCACAGCAACACCAAGGCACTCCAAGTGGCCAGCTACTTGTCAGAGGACATTTAGTATAATGCCAAGTTTTAAAACTTTGTTTGTGTTTTTAAATCTGCTTATGACACGATAAATAAATAAAATTTATATATTTATGTAGTTCAGACACCAGGTCCTATTAATTTATTTTTTAAATGGTATTAATTTATATAATAAAAGCTTACTATAATATCAAAATTATCTCTAAGTTTTCTAGCTTTTGTCAATGCAATTTTTTCAATAATTTCTGTAAAATCAACTTGCATAACTAAACCATTTTCCATGCATATAATTGCATTGATGATTAAATAATTGTTTGTTACACAGAAAAAGAAAAACAGTTTTTCCTTATATCATAACCAACCCTTCTACTTTACAAGTGAATCTAAAAACCTCAACTGACATGAATAGTAAACTAGCTTTGGCCCCAGTTTTGCCTGAATAAATTTTGGGATTAAGAAGTAGCTTTTGAGCTGCCCGGGTAATAACAACAACAACAACAACAACAACAACAACACTTTCATTGTATTCTTCCTTATCTCCCCATAGGGACTCAAGGCAGATTCCACCTTATACAGATACAAGGCAAACATTCAATGTCTCGAAACAACGAAACAGATACACAGATAAAGGTAAAGGTTTCCCATTCATCTCAGGCTCTGGGTGGTGGTGCTCATCTCCATTTCTAAGCTGAAGAGCCTACATTGTCTGTAGACACCTCCTAGGTCATGTGGACGGCATGACTGCATGGAGCGCCATTTACCTTCCCACCAAGGCATTACCTATTGATCTACTCACATTTGGATGTTTTCAAATTGCTAGGTTGGCAGGAGCTAGGGCTAACAATGGGAACTCACCCCATCCCCCAGATTCAAACCACCAACCTTCTGATCAGCAAGTTCAGCAGCTCAACTGCTTAACTCATTGCACAACTACAGCCCCACTACTATACCAAATTGTGGGTGAAGCCACAAGATAAACAAAAGTTACCAAATTAACTTCTATTTTGTTTGCAGGAGAAATAAAATATTTTTATTTCTTTTACTTCTAACCCAGCACAATCTAAATTCAAATCAGACAGGTTCTTCTTTCTGCCAACAAAGTTCAAAGGCACTGTCCACCTGGTAATTGCTTTTTGTCACATGCTGCGTTTTTAATTGTGTTTTCAAATTTGAACTTTGAATCAAAAAGTGATTGAGTTTCTTTTTAAATGTATCAAAACATCGGCATAAATAAGAGTATGAATGTGATAAATCACAGAGAATATAGAGTTGGAAGAGACCACAAGGGCCATCCAGTCCAACCCCATTCCGCTATGCAGGAACACATAATCGAAACACCCCCTGCAAATGGTCATTCAGCCTCTGCTTAAACACCTACAGAGAAGGTGACTCCACCACAGTCCGAGGCAGCATATACCACTGCTAAACATCTCTTGCCATCAAGAATTTCTTCCTAATGTTTAAGGTTTTTATACAATTTGAATCCATTGCACCATTGTGTCCTAGTCTCCAGAGCAGCAGAAAATAAGCATGCCCCTTTCTCAAGGTGCAGCCCTTCAAATATTTAAACATGTCCCCTCTCAGCCTTCTCTTCTCCAAGCTAACACACCAGCTCCTCATAGGGCTTGACTGCTAAACCTTTGATCATTTTGGTCACCCTTCTCTGGACACATTCTAGCTCAGGCATGGGCAAATGTGGGCCCTCCAGATGTTTTAGACTTCAACTTCCACCATTCCTATCAGCTCCAGGCCCTTTCCGTTTCCCACTCAGCCGCTTAGGTCGCAATTGAAGGCACAGAGAAAGAGTGAGGGAGTTGTTCCGTACCTCAAGCTCCCTGGGTAGCATGTGTAATAATAAACACAGTCTGACCAAGACCCATGATGTTGATTAAATGTAAAAGGAAGTTAAAAGCAGCAGCAACATTTTTTGCAGCATAAGGTAAATAATATCGGGGCAGTTAGAAAGTTATTTTGTGCTTCACTGCATCATTTGGTGGAAAGGTGGGCACCGAATTTTTCACTCAGGAAGAAAGAGAATAAAAGATTTAGCATACACCTTCCTCCATTATGGAGTGTTTGTTTAAATATTAATGCCAATTACATTATTTCAAGGGGGGGGGGGTTACTCCGGATCCTTTTATTACAAAGGATTACTGCAACACTCTCTACATGGGGTTGCCTTTGAAAATAGTTCGGAAGTTTCAACTAGTTCAAAGATCGGCAGCCAGGCTAACTGAAGCTCTATACAGTGAGTAGACAACTCTCATGTAACAGCAGCTCCACTGGTTGCCAGTCTGCTTCCAGGCTAAATGCAAAGTACTGGTTTGTCCAGGCTAAATGCAAAGTGCTGTAGTGTCCCAACTCTGGGGGTTGGTACTCATCTCCATTTCTAAGCCAAAGAGCTGGCGTTGTCTGTAGATACCTCCAAGGTCATGTGGCCGGCATGATTGCATGAAGCGCCGTTACCTTCCTGCCGGAGTGGTGCCTATTGATCTACTCACATTTGCATGTTTTTGAACTGCTAGGTTGGCAGAAGCTGGGGCTAACAGTGGGAGATCATGCCGTTCCCCAGATTCAAACCTGCGACCTTTTGGTAAGCAAGTTCAGCAGCTCAGCGGTTTAACCCACTGCACCACTGGGAGCTCGATTTGCCTATGCAGGGATCAAAATTAACTTTGTGTTGGTAAAAGTCAGCTAAATTTAAGAGCCATTATAAAATGGCAGCACTCAGGAAATTAGCCAATTATTCTCTATGGTTAATAAACTGTTTCCAATAATTTGACAAGATCTTGATTGTGTGTCATCAAATTCTTTCTTTCTCTAGTTATTATGGCTATGCATTCTCTATTCTTAAATGGTCTGTTTTCATTTTCTGTCACTTTCAGTGGCAGCAACTATAGTTTCTAGTAAATGATCTGTGCTTTAATATTGGGATTCTGATTTCGAAGCAGAAGGAGAATTCAGAGATGGGGTGAGAGAG